TGAAATCTAAGCCAAAGAATGGTGATGCCACTGTTAAAGACCAGACACAACAAAAAAAGAGGTCTGTGTTGTCACTGGGCAGAAACAGGAGGATGCATTGGTTCTCAACATGGATTTACAGCCTGCAAAATATATGATCATCAGCATCAGACACATTTTATTTACAGCCCTAAACATCTATGCCTTGCCTGCAATCCTAGCTACCCAGGAGGCTGAGACTGGGAAGATTACAGATCGAGGCCAGCTCAAGCAAATTATTTCTCCAGACATCCCCCAAACCCCAATCTGCAAAATAAAAACAGTAAAATGGACTGGAGGTGTGGCTCAGTCCACAAGTACTCTTGCAAAACAGAGTACCTGTTTTGCAAGTATGAAGTCCTGAGTTCAAACCCCTGTCCAAAAAAAACCCTATGTCTGTATTTTCATTCATTTACTGTGCTGGGGCTCAAACCCAGGGCTCTGTATATGCTAGACAAGTCCTCTACCACTGAGCTATGCCTCTCCTAAACCTCAGTAGTCCTTTAAAGACTGGGAATATATAACAATAAAGAACTTGCCTGACATGCACAAGGCCCTGGATTCAATCCCCAGTCCCAACAAAACCCCCAAACAAATTTCAGTAGCCCTTGCCTCTTATTTTCTTCTAAAGAGAACCTGCTCACTTCCCTCACCTTCAAGGCAATCCCCCTACCCTCCTTAGCTTAACTTTAACCAGGACAAAAGCAGTTATCCTACTACTAATATTCCTAAGAGAAGAGATTATCTCAGGTTAGAAGCATAGCTCAAGTGGTAGAGCAGCAAGCTCAAAGCCCTGAGTTCATTAAAACCACACTAAGATTCCACCTCACCCCTGTTAGAACAGCCATCATCAGCAACACCACCAACAACAGGTGTTGGCGAGGATGTGGGGAAAAAGGAACCCTCTTACACTGTTGGTGGGAATGTAGACTAGTACATCCACTCTGGAAAAAAATTTGGAGGCTACTTAAAAAGATGGACATCGATCTACCATTTGATCCAGCAATACCACTCTTGGGGATATACCCAAAAGACTGTTACTCCAGAGGCACCTGCACATCCATGTTTATTGCGGCACTATTCACAATAGCCAAGTTATGGAAACAGCCAAGATGCCCCACCACTGACGAATGGATTAAGAAAATGTGGTATCTATACACAATGGAATTTTATGCAGCCATGAAGAAGAACGAAATGTTATCATTCGCTGGTAAATGGATGGAATTGGAGAACATCATTCTGAGTGAGGTTAGCCTGGCTCAAAAAACCAAAAATCTTATGTTCTCCCTCATATGTGGACATTAGATCAAGGGCAAACACAACAATGGGATTGGACTATGAGCACATGATAAAAGCGAGAGCACACAAGGGAGGGTGAGGATAGGTAAGACACCTAAAAAACTAGCTAGCATTTGTTGCCCTTAATGCAGAGAAACTAAAGCAGATACCTTAAAGCAACTGAGGCCAATAGGAAAAGGGGACCAGGTACTAGAGAAAAGGTTAGATCAAAAACAATTAACCTAGAAGGTAACACCCACGCACAGGAAATCAATGTGAGTCAATGCCCTGTATAGCTATCTTTATCTCAACCAGCAAAACCCCTTGTTCCTTCCTATTATTGCTTATACTCTCTCTACAACAAAATTAGAGATAAGGGCAAAATAGTTTCTGCTGGGTATTGAGGGGGGGAGCGGGAGGGGGTGGAGTGGGTGGTAAGGGAGGGGGTGGGGGCAGGGGGGAGAAATAAACCAAGCCTTGTATGCACATATGAATAATAAAAGAAAAATGAAAAAAAATAAATAAATAAATAAATTAAAAAAAAAAAAAAAAAAAAAAGCCCTGAGTTCAAACTTCAGTCCCAGAAAAAAGAAAAAAAAAAAAAAAGTCGGGGGAGAGGGGAGGGATTATCTCAAAGAAGGAATCCAAAGAAATAGTATTCTGCCCCTTTAAGTAGAATAGTAAGAAAGGAGATGGAGAGTTATTCAATCACCACTCACTTCCTGACTGCTATTCCTGATAACCAGACCAGAGTTTGGCTTCTGGTAACTTCAGAAGGAAGGCTTGAGACTTGTCTTTTTTTCAGTGTCTAGGCCCCAAGGCTGAACCATGGGGCCACCAAGCCTGAATACAACATGATCACATGTGTGCAACTGTCTGCACAATTCACTTGGATGTTAATAATGAATTGTTTTATGTTGGTCATCTCTTCTATCAATGCCTTAAAGAAATTAAGACCCATGTTGCCAATTTTAATCTTACTGTTCAAGATTATTATCTTGAACTACTAAAATCTTAAGTATGTCTGACACTTAGTACTCCAAAACGTACTTTTTCGTTCACTCTGGTCTTTTCCTCTCAGTACCATCAGGAGGCATTTATCAAAGTAGTTCAAAATTATAGACTAACCTGGCACTGGCAGCTCACACCTGTAATCCCAGCTACTTGGGAGGCAGAGATAGGGAGGACTGTGGTTCAAGGCCAGCCCAAGAAAAAAGTTACTGAGATCCCCAAATCAATCAATAAGCAGGGCGTGGTGGTGAGGGCCTGTAATCCCAGCGATGCAGGAGGCACAGGCAGGAGGATATCAGTCCGAGGCCCATCTCAGACAAAAGCTTGAGACCCTACGTGAAAAATAACGAAAGCCAAAAAGGACTGCCTAACAAGTGTGTTTAGGGGGGAATCCCTAAGATGTTGGGCTGCAGGTGTAGCTTAGTAGTAGAGGCATTTACCTAGCATGCATGAAACTCTGGATTTGATCCCCAGCACAACCAGGGGAAAAAAAAAAAAACAAAACCCAGATGTATGTGAGAAACCCAGATGTATCTGAGCAGCAGGAACTCCATTCAAAGTTCTCAGATTTTAGCAGGTCCCTAGCTCCAATTTAACATGTGGATGCACAGATGACACAATTTTCCTATTTTTCTATTCTGTGTTAAAACTGTTCAATACAAACTGTTTTACCTCTGTTGAGTTTACTAACTAGTATCTTTTGGGTATTAAAGAGCAGTCCTTTGTTTTCCCCAATTCTAACTATTTTGTCAACTGATCTTAACTAAACTTCTTTTTATGTTAAAGTTGTCTCAAATATTATTTCCCATAAGAGTTGTTTGTAGAATGAAAACAAAAGGACAAAGCAGCTTCCCTGCTCCTTCCAGAGGTTTTGTCTCAGAGCTCAGTAAAGCCCCAGCATGCATGTTCAACAAGTACTCTGGGAGATTCTGGGGGTGAGGAGGGGAGGGTTCTGTAGGCTTCACTTTCAAAACTGCAGTTCTGGAAACCATCACCACCATGTAGTCACCTAAGCCCACCAATTTCTTCCAGAAAAATTCTCCCTCCCTCATCTTCTAAAGTACACTCACTATGCAAGCAAGGTAGATTTGCTGCTGTTGTCATTATGGGGGGTTGGGGACAAGGGAAGAAACAATATTAAAGAGCAGAAAGGAAAAGGAGACGTTCTGAAGAGTTTCCTCTCCATTATTTATGCTGCAATTAAGAGTATGAAACCTAGCCTTTTTTGTTTGTTTTAAGGTGTGGACATTAAGATTATAGCACTAACTTCATAAGCATTCAGTTCTCTTAAAGAATTTCAAAACCCCACCAGTTAACCCCAAATGCAACAACTGGCTGGAAATTCACAAACCTTTCAAAGTAACAGTTCTTACCTGTGCCTCTTCCTCCACTGCTTAGCACTCATTAAAAAACAAAAGAAAATCAATGACAAAGTAAAATGGTAAATTTACTTAAGCCTATGTGCATAATGACTGCAGTAGTCTGGGTGGTATGCTTTTTATCATGGCACTGTATTTCATCAAATGCCTCAAATTAACTGATCATGTGGGATTGAAAATTTCATATATCAGTAAAGTCAGTTGCAAAACTTATAAAAATGGATTCTTTTACTCCCACTGATTAAAATCAAACATTGACAGGATTATATAAAAACCAAAGGCCTATTTAACCTTGTAAATGTAAATTTACGACACAGGGGAAGAGAAAATAATAATCAGACAGGAAGAAATATTAATAGATCTCTTACTTTACTTGCAAACTGAAACTATGAGTAAGACAATTATTTTAACTAAAGCTAAAAGCCTTTTTAATCTCTTTAATTACTTTCCATTAATTTGCTACTTCTCTTTGAAGTTCAGATCATTTCCTAAGTTTACTCTTAAAAAAAAAGGTAGATTCTTTTAGAAGAAATGACAGTAAATAAAAATGCAAATTAACTGTTAGTATCCTGCCTAAGGGAACACACAACTAAGTATGTTTTTTACACGTAACTAAGGCAGCAATGTTCAAGTATGAGTTCCACTTCTTTAAAATTACATAGATACAAATTGCTAAAGACAAAAAAAATAATCTGCAAAAAGCAAAATGGACACATCAAGGTGATAGGACGCTGAGAGGATTTCTAACCTGGTAAGCAACCACACCTGGTGTGGAGGTTCACCCAGTGCACCCGACCTCCAAGCCGGCATCATGCTTGCCACCAGCCAAGGGGAATTTCTTATTTTTCCTTTCCGTCCCACCCAGTTAACACTGCGCAGGAAAGGGCCGCCGGACGGGAAATGACCGCACGGCAGGGCTCCTGGCGGCTCTCCTCCGAGCCTGGGGTTTCTGGGTGTCGCGTCCCTCGGTGAGTTAAAGAGGAAGGTGAGAGGCGGGCGTGGGGAGGAAGACAAGCATTTCCTGATCCCTTCTAGACAACCCTCAACAACCCAGGTAGAGCAGGTTACACTGCCGCTAGGCGTTTAAGTCCCTTATTAGCTAGGCGGAGAACAGAAAGAGCGGAGACAAAGGAGGCTGCAAAGGTTAGCGCACAGTTCCGCACTGGCTCCCCAGTCCAGTCGTGCCGAGTGGATTAGCACGTGAGCGGTGAGCGGCGGGCGCCCGGGGTCGGTTCCCGGGCCGCACTCAGCTCGCCTCGCCCCGCCCAGAGGCTCGCGCCCTTGGCGGCAGGAAGGGCCGCGTGGCTGTCCTACCTTCAAGGCCGGGCCTCAGCCGCCTCGGTCCCTCTCTCTCGGCCTCCCAACCGCAAGGAACACCAGACAGAGTCAGCAGCCACCTCGCGCCGGGCAGGCCGGGCCTTCTCTGGGGCACAAAGCGGCGCGCGGCGCCCTTCCCGCGGGCGGGCGGGGCGAGGCGGGCGGGGCTTCCGGCCGCGGGCCGGGCGGTGGAACCGCGCGCCCTCGAGTGACTCCTCGCCGGCCGGCGCCGGACTCCACAGGCAGCGACTACAGCCACCGTCAGGCCCTGCCTCCCGCCGCTCAAAACGTGGCCTCGAGGCTCCGCTAACACCGCACATCCTGCTTTTCCAGTAAATCTTGAAAAAGCAGCTTAAGACACAGTGATCTCGGCTGTTATAAAACACCTCCCCGCCGGATCACGTTTTGCACTGTGCACCCGCGGAGGATGCCGAAATCCAACTTCCAACGTTTGCTTGAAATCTGAAGACGGCCGACTCAGGATGCTTTAAGAAAAAGAATCGTGCCGCAATATGCGATGCGCCAAAGGGGACCAGGAATAAGGGTCCCATCTCACCCTTATTGTGAACCCTCAAGCGCAGTCGGTGCACAACGAAAAACACCGCAGAGTCCTGTTCACTGGAGAAAATCACAACACTCGAACCGCAATTGTTAATGCCCACCACGGCAGTGCTAACACTTCTGCAGGGCTTTGCAGATACGAAAGTCAGTCCTCACAACCGCTCTAGATGGAGATACTACCGGACCCACGGCACAGGTGGGGAAACCACCTGTGCTAACTTACTTAGCACACAGGAGCTAAGTAAGTCGCCCAAGTGCAAATCAAAGGCAGAGGCAGCATTCGAACGGCCCCGCCCCGCCGGGCACGGTGAGACCACCTGGAGTCTGCGGATCCCGTGGCTTGCAGCTCCGACGTCCTCCCTGCTACTGTCAACGCTGTCAGCGATGCCAGCGTATTCATCACACTGTCGTCTGCACTGCAAGACTCGTGCTCTAGAAATGCCACCCACTTTCTCGGACAGTCTGCAAACTGTCTCTACTAAGAAAATGAAGACGAAACCACAGGCCACGGGGCCAGCCTCGCCACCACATGCCGGAACTTTCTGTGATCGGGCCCTCGGCAAGCTGCCTACAAGCTCGCTCCGCTCCCGCTCCCAGTGGAAAAGCCTCAGTCCCACTCCGACTCGCCTGAACATCCCCTCCCGGGCCGGGCATTCGTACCATGCAGCCAGGGATGCGCCCAGCGGACAGCACACGTCCCCAAACCAGCGGGCTCACATCACGTCACGTGACATCGTCACATCTCCGCGGCCCGGCGAGGTCTGTTCTCAGCGGTGCACACAGCGGGCTCTCGGGAGCCAGACTCCTCGCTCTCAAATGCAATGCTCTCACTGAGGCAAAGCGCGGAAAGGGTAGCTGGCTCCTAGTGGCACTAGGAAGCCACGCCCTGCTCCGAGCGCCAGTGTCAGAATGACCAAGCAAAAATCCACCCCCAGCTCGTGCGGCGCTGGCAACCTCTGCTCATCAGCGTGGTGAAGCAACAGCTCCTAATTGGGGGCCAGCACATCCTGCCTGTCACTGCCGCCCCCAGCCCAATCCCGTGCACAATTTAAGGAATGCTGGGAGCCAGACCAGAACGCAGTGTCTGAACTGGATGTACTGGCTCGGCAACTGTAACCACGAGAGCATCCTTAGCCACACCGGGGCTCCCACCCACGCATTCTGATCACCTCAGGACAGCACGGAGTGTGACGGTGACAAGGCTGCCAGCCTTTTGAACTCCAAAGTTCGAAAGTTAGGGCCCCGCTGCCCCAAGGGAATAGATTAGTCAGTTTGGTAACTCCCTAAAGGTAGTTGGACTGTGACTAATCCTGAGCAGAAGTGACACATTCTCACCAGCACAAAACTTCCCCTTAGAGTATTTCCTCCTTGTCCCACTCAGGGTCTGGGTTGCCCTGTTTGTTTTAACCTCCAGGTGTGCCAAGCCACCTGCGCTGCCAAAGAGCGCCAAGGCCTCCCTATCTCCCTCCCGCTCTTACTCATGTTCTCACCTGCAACTACAGCCCCAGTGCGCAAAAAAATAAACGAGTGAATAAATCATTCCCCCTTCTCTGTCTGGTTAGTCTAGACTGAAGGGCACTGAGGTGAAAGGGTAGCTGGCACCTCCTCCTAACTGGCGGCCTGCCATTCCTTCCAAGGTGGAACTTAGAGGCGAGTCTTAGCCTCTAGCCTCTCACCTAAATGCACACAATGCCGGTCTATGAGGGGTTTTACATGAGGGCCTCACCTGATTGAGAAGAGTGAAGAAGGGAAAATGTGAGCGAAGAAAACTAGAACTAAGAGTGGACCCCAGACATTTGAATAACCATGTTCTATGTCTTGTCTGATTTCATCTATACAATAAAAGGCCATGAACTAGGGGCAGGAAGTCATTCTCAAGGATATTCAGAACCCGTACCTGTGTCCCCTCCCTTGTAATCTCAGCACTCAGGAGGAAGAGATCCCATCTCAAAAATACCCAATACAAAAAAAGGGCTCAAGTGGCAGAGCACCTGCCTAGCCAGTGTGAGGTTGTATGTTCAAACCCTAGTACCATCAAAACAATTATAACATATATTGCAGTTTATATAAACATATATATTCCAGTTTATTTTATATATATAATCAGTATACTATATAAACATATATATATAATAAACTAGAATAAATAATAATGTATTTCAAAAGCTTGACTTCAGATAGAGGGATTTTTTTTTGGTGGGACTAGAGTTTGAATTCAGGACCTTACCCTTGCAAAGCAGGCACTCCACCCTTGAGTCACACATCCAGTTCCTTTTGCTCTGGTTATTAGGAGATGGGTCTCAGGAACCTTTTCCCTGGGCTAGCCTTGAACCTTAGTCCCATGGAGGTAGAATAGCAGGTGTGAGTATCTGGCACCCAACTTGATAGAGGGATTTTTAGATCATTTAACTTGGAATAATATACTAAATGCCACTGATAAAGATTTATTTCAAGAGTTTTGACACTGAAAGCATCTTACATGGACAGGTAGGTCAAAGTAATTATAGTTGAAAATTTCTAACAGCATACTAGGAAAAGGGCTGGATGAGGCATTTTTAACTTCACGTTGTTCTTAGGTAAGCAAATTACACACAAATCCCCAAAGTAGCTCCATGTAGTTATTTCCTTTTTAATATAAAAAAACACCCCTTAAAAATGCCATCTTGGGCTGAGGGTGTGGTTCAGAAGTAGACCATGTTTAGCATGCATGAGGTCCTGGGCTCCATTCCCAGCACCACAGAAATAAATAAAAATGAAAATGCCTCTTTACTTTCAAACATTCTTGCTGCTGTTAAGGGACAAGATGCCTTACCCTGTCACAAGATATGGAGAACTCTAGTTGTATTTAGTTGCTGGTTAGCCAAAGAAGAGCCTTCCCTCTACTACTCATCACGCAGGGTTGTTCTAATCATGCACCTTCAGTCTCTTCACTGGGCTCATGTTATTCTCCCTAACTAAAATGATATTCCCTCCCTCGAAGTCTAATCCTTTGAAGCTCATCTTAAATGTCACCTCCTATGGAAGGGCTTCTCTGAATCCCACTCGGTATTAATTGTTCCTTCCCTCGTTCTGTCACCAAATACCCAATAATAATTATACGTCTTCTAAGTTCATGATTGCTGTGGAAAGGCAAACCCTTATTTGATTTATCTTGTCTCCCCACAACATGGTATGTAGTAGATACTCACAAAATGATGGGGAAAAAAAGCCCTCTGTTTTTCTGAGCTGCCATCTAAGCTAAACAGATCTACTCAGGTATTGTGGAGGGTCCTATTGCATTAAACTACTGTGCTGCCTGTAATAAATGCGCGCACGCACGCGCACACACACATCTCCACGTGGCTGCCTAGGTGCTGACATGGCAAGGGCCACTCTGTTCATCCTAACTCTTCACATATCTTTACCCCACTCAGGCAGCAGAAGAAACACATAGAAAAAAACAGTGATTTCAACTTCAAATCAAGACCACAAGCCTCAAATCTGTCCATTGCCTTGCCCAGAAATCCTTTTCACTCCTGGTATGTTGTTTTCCCAGTTTCCAAAATGACTCCTTCATACTTAATTCCACTTTTCTTAAACTTCTAATATCTCTACACCTTACCCCGGCTCATAACCTACTTTTTCTTTAAGAAAACAGAATCAAACAGACAGAAATTCCCTAGTATCTTCCCCTCAGTCACCAAATTCCCTACGTTCACTCTAGATATAATGAAAAGCAACTTCTCCATCTTTCCTGCCTTGTCAGCCTTCAAGAACTTCACTCCCCAAATTAGCCTCCCTCTCTGGCATCGTCAAATTTTTCTTCTCTGCCTTATCATTTCCATCATTCTACAAGCACACCATAGTTTTCTCATTTTAAAAAAGCCTTCTGTGACCCTGTGTTCAACTTTCATAGGTAGCACCACATTTCATTGCTTCCCTTCACAAGGTCGGGGAAGCTTTCTGAAAGAGTTCTTAGCACCCTAAAGAAGAATAAGGTAGGGTAGGGAGGGAGGAAAAGATGTAAGAAGGTGATGCTTGAGTAAAGACCAGAGGGAATGAAGGAGCAAGCCATGAGAGCACCTGGGGAAAACTTTTCTAAGCCAGGGAATAGGCAGTAATGAAGTATAAGCTGGGAGCCTACTGACTTATCAAGGATCTGTGAGGGAGTAGGTCAGTAACAAAGAACATGGAAGAAGGTGGTAGGTAGACAGGGATCACATCTTGAAGGCCATAGTCAGGGCTCTGGATTTCATTATAAATGTGTAAAAAGCCAGTTTGGACAGAAGAGTAGAAAATGATCTGGTTTGTATCTTAAAAGAATCATGCTGTGTGGAGGACAGAAAAGGGCATGTAGGGACATAAGAGTGCAGGCACAGAAGTGGTAAAGAAGTTACTGTGGTGATCCAAACTAGAGGTGATAGGGCTTGGAGCTAGTGAGGCGAGAAAAAAGGCCTGAAGGTAAACCTAATCAGCTTTGCAGGGGGTAGAATGAGAGATGTAAAAGAAAGATTAGAATAAATAATGATCAGACTTTTGGCCTTGGCAACTAGGTAAATGGTGGTACTCTTTAGTGAAAGAGTGGCACACTTGTAGGAGAAGGAAAGCAATAGTTTGGACAAATCCATACTATGCTTTAAGAGATTTACTAGTTATCTAAATGGGGATATTGAATAGGCAGCTGGATATACAAATCTGGAGTTCCGGGCAAGAAATGAAAACTGAGGGGGATGGGCTGGGAGTAGAGGTACATGCCTATAATTCCAAATACCCAAGATACCCTCTTTTAAAAAATAAGATGAGCATGGTGCTGCATGCTTGTGATCTTAGGGGGTGGAGAAAGGAGAATCCCAGTCCTAGGCCACCCCCAGGCCAAAAAACAAACAAACAAAAAACCATGAGACCCATCTGAAAATAACTGAAGTAAAAAGGACTAGGATTGTGGCTCAAGTGGTAGAGCTCTTGCCTAGAAAGCATAAGGCATGAGTTCAAAAGGGGAGGGGAGAATATAAAAGACATTTAATACCACATGCATTAGGGTTTTCTAGGAAAATAATCAGTAGGATATATGTGTACAGCGGGGGATAAAAAAAGAAATGGTGATCTAAAACTTGTTTCCTGTTTGGGGGATCTTAGCCTTTTCTCTTAAGGCTTTCAACTAACCAGGTAAAGCTCACACACATTTGAGGGTAATCTGCTTTACTCAGAATCTACTGAATTCAACATTAATCACACTTTGAAAAAACCTTACAGCAACATCTAGAGTAGTGTTTGACCAAAGAAGTGCACAACTGTAGCCTGGCTAAGTTAACACTAAAATGAATTCTCAAACTATGGCATTAGATGAAACTATCCAGTGAGCAAATATGTTTAGGGAAGTGATGATGACTCAGGACAGAGCCCTGGCACACTCGGACTACAGAGGAGGAGAAGGGTCCAGCAGAGGACCTAAAGGAGCTGGAGGGGTGGGAGGAAAGCCAAGACAGTGTGGTATCTCAGAAGCCAGCGCTTGTCACTGACAAACAATGACAAGCACTCCAAATGAAGGGAAAGTGCAGGGACTGCACCAAGTAGAAATCCTGTGAGACAAGGACTGAGTCATGGAGGTCATTGTTCATCTCTATGAAAGTGATGTGGGTTAGAGATTATAAAGAGAGGGAGTTGAACAAGCAAC